AATAATAATAAATTATTTAAAAATTGAAATGGTATTAAAAGCGTTCACTGGTTAAGGGATTACAATGTTCAGTTGTGCAGAAGTTCAATAAAACAGGCAAATTTTGAAATTTTAATTGCATAAAATTCTCAATAACCCATATTAGGAATATTTTTATTCTTATTACTACATTTTGAATACTTACAATATTATGATTTTTAAAAACGATAATGTTAAAAATTAAAAGTATATTATAACTTAATAAAATGTATGCTTTATAAAGAACAATTTTCTTATACTGTTATTATTGCATATATTTTGGTTCTTTCCATTTCAGACACAGTAAAATAAAAAAAAAAGTTTATTTTTTTATTTATATCTTATATCGGTGGGAAAACAATATTCTATAACACAATTAAGCATTACTGAATATATAAGACTGAATTTTACTTCATATTGTAATTTCCTAAATATTCTTAGGCTTGCATTATTATTATGAAGAAAATATTTCTATGTGTTGTCTTTAACCATTGGGTAGCTGCTGACACTACGATCTCAGTTGTATTTAGAACGTTAACGTAATTTTTGGACTGTTATTGGCAATTAAACTGAGAACAAAAGTGGCCGTTGTGCAAATACACAACACCAACCAATTTATATTATCAATTAATGAATCTAATAAAATTTAAGATATACATGTCAAAAATAAATTTGGTTTTCGAGGTAGATGGAACTGTGTTTTCACATCGAAGAGATTCATTAATACCTTCAAAGTAGTGACTTAATCTTTGTATGTCTATAAACTCCTAAATCGGATTAAACAAACCGCAATTTATTACATGAACTTTCTAACAACAACTTACTAAGTGGTAACGTGTGAGATTAGATTTATACATTTAAATGGAAAGGGTTTTAGAGGTGTTCGTGTAAATTAAACACTAATTGCACTCAATAAATCGGATTAAAACTATAGAAAACTTATTGTTATAATGTTTATTTCATTATATACATGTTAATATCAAAGATCACCAGTTTTATATTATTCAATATATACAAAAGTGAATAAAACCGCCAAAAGTACCTAAAGGCTGTATGAGTAATATATATGTTGTACAAACAAACGGTGTAGCCACAAGAATTAATAATGTGAACACGATATTCAGATCTCTTTGAAAAGCAATTTAAATCGAAAATAATGTTATTTATTTATTTATTTGAAATACGTCTACGTATACGACGTATATATAACGAAATTATTTTATGAATAAAAAGAAATACTAAAACAAAAATCCAGCATCCTACCAGAGCAGGGCCCGTAGCAGGACCTGTAGGTTCAGCTTAGTTAAAACCATTAACTAAAGAGAAAAAAAAATGTGAAGATGAACATTTTATTTTTATTAAATAGTTTTGTTTCGTCGTAAGATATAACCATTTAATTTAAGTAGTGTTTATTTTATAGAATAGTAAAGATTTATAAGATGTCATTGGGACTTGACATTATATACAATATCTAGACACCGACCTTTGCTCGGTATTTAGGAATTATTAGTATTTATTTTGTTTTTTGTTATTTTCGTTTAGGCATTTTTAAGTGAATCCGTTAAGAAGACACAAAAGAATATAAATCAACAATTAATTTCATAGTCTAACCTCAAAACAAACCCTCATTGACTTCCTATTACTTAACAACGCCATCTGCTGTTGTGTCGTTAAAGCGATTAGCAGAAAGTACTATTATTATTCGCCAATAGATGTCAGGAAGAGTCATATTTTAAATTGGACAACTCAAACGCCTCCTTTTTAATTTTTTTTTTCACAAATTGGTATTTTTTAAAAATGTTTCCTAGTTAAATCGATTTGTCGCTCCCGAAACCCCCTATATAAAAAATTTCATGAAAATCGTTGGAACCGATTCAGAGATTCCAATTATCATGTATATATGTATAAACATGACTGTCAGTGGCGGCCTAGTGGTTAAAGGGACGCCTCTCATGCATGAGGGCGCGGGTTCGATCCTGGCAAGTACCAATGTGATTTTTCCGAGTCATATGTACTTTCTGAGTGTATTTAGACACCACTGACATACGGTGAAGGAAAACATCGTGAGAAAATCCGGAATTATAATTTCACTATTATATGTTTGAAATCACCAACCCGTCTTGAGGAAGCGTGGTGATTAATGAATTCCCAAAGAGGGTTGATGTCAGGCAGGTGCCCGGTCGTAAAAAAACAATTAGCAGAAACTATTTACAAAATGTAAGACAGAACCTGGCTAAAACTGGGAAATTTCGAGGAAGAAGAAGATATATATATATATATATATATATATATATATATATATATATATATATATATATATATATATATATATATATATATAAGAATTGCTCATTTAAAGATATAAGATTTGATTTACATGTAGTGACATAGAAATTATTATAAAGAGTGAAGATCTCTGAAGTTCAGAGAATTCAGTTTCGCCTTTAAACCAAACGTAAACTGCTACCACAAAATAATAATTGTGAGCGAACACAAGGTGACACTGTGATTCTAAAATTTATATTTTTTAATGTGCTTATTTTTTTCGCACATAAAGTTTATTTAACATAACATTCAGATTTTTGTAAAATTTAAAGTTTTTACTTCTTAACTATTGATTGCCTAAATATACGAAATATTTTTAAATGCCCCTGCAACTTTAAATGTTGGTTGGTTAGAGGTTATAATAGGAACAGACACAAAGAAAAATATTCAATAAATTCACATGGAGGCAAAATAAACACTCAGGACGACAAAAAAAATTAAAGAAAAACAGCAAACAAGACAGAATACGCACAGATATTTTGTGTTTTCGTCCAATTCCTATAACACTCAAGTCAGTCCAACAGCGAAGTTCCTATAAAACTCTGGTTCCTATAAATCTTCTATAATTAGAAAAATAATTTATATAAAATAAACAACTTTCAAAGAAATATGGAGATAATATTATTTTACTCAATAATTTATGAACTATGCTCCACAAATTTTCAAAAGGACCTTACATAAGCCGATATTATGATGTTTATAATATTTTTCTTTCATTACCGGGCCTTTCCTCAACGATAATAAATTTTCGCTCTTTATTTAATTTAATTCCTTATTTATCCAAGGACACTAATATTATAGAAAAGAAATTGTAGTAATATTATTACGAGTTTATTAAACATTTTCGAGTGTTATAAAGATTTATTAAAAATGTTTAAATATACAGACCTTTAAATACCTACTTTAAATATTTTTAATAGTCATTTAAGTCTCAGAATAATTTATACTTCAAAGCTCAACTTTGATTACTTTATATTTACTCCGTTATTCATTGGGGACTCTTATAATAGCAAACTAACGCCATCTGTATATTAGTTATGAAAGTGTAAAATAATGTTAGTAACTCTTTAATGAATTAAATGTCTTAATGCTTTACGATTGATGTTGTCACTGACAATTCGAATTATAAGATGATTTACATAATATTGAATATTAATTATTTATTGAAAACTTATGAGGGAATAGTAGCGCTATCTATAATGTTGTAACTTATCTTCCCCTAAAATGTTAAATCTAATGATCATTTAAACCGGGTCCTTGTTAATGAAAACTTGTACTAGCTTGAAATTAAAAAAGAAGAAGAAAATTATTAAACTTTAGACTTTGAGATGGCAGTAAGGCCATATGACTATTTAATACTATGGTATTTTTTTAGCATAATATGTATTCATCTGAATACTTCATACTTTCATACTTTATTACTTGTGAAGAATAAAAATTTGAGTTATAATGTTGTATGATAATATAAAAAAGGTGGTTATGTTTTATTAGCCCTATAAAACGAAACATTGCTTGTATATAAGTCTTTAGTCTTATTGTATAACAATACAATTCAGCCATTGGTATTATAAAAAAAAATCAATTAAAAGAATATAATAATAAATTAGTGACTAATATTAGGATAAAAGGAGTTTTGAAATAGTGGTGTTTAATTAAATCGTTTCGCGACGTATATTGTGTTTAAGAGAATTTATTCTGGATTTCTAAAGACATATTATTTTTATATTTTAAATCTTTTAATGAATTAATTTATAACACATTGAATGGTATACTCGTTATTTATAGTTTAAATTTTATAATATGAGTATTATTCTAGGTTAATTTGCAAATAACGTACTTCCATATTTTTGTATTTTCTTTAGTCAAATTTAATACATTATCTGTAACTTAGAATTGGGTATCAATAATATCACGAATTAAACAAATCTAAAACGTCAAATAAATTGTTTAAGGAATAAAATAAAACCTATTTTTATGTAAAAGCAAGAAACGTTAAGAGTTTATCGGTCGCCAAGGGACACTTGATGTTACTCCCGGTTGGTTTCCCTTGAGAATATATGACTATGGAAAGAATATATAGGAATGAGCCAAAGGAACAAAACAATACTTAACCCTTTCAGAACTGAATTATTTTTTTTGTGTCCAATGAATCTAAAAAAAAAATGAAGCTAGAGTAGAGTAAAGAGACTAAGGAAAAAATTATGAAAAAAATCCTGGTTGTCAGGTTTTTAAGAAAATAACGTTTTTCTTTTTGTGTACAAATGTGCACATCCGTCTTACGTAGTGAGAAGACTACTGTTAGGGGCCTTTCATTGGAATTATAAAAAGTTTAATTTCTTAATGTTTTCATTAGGAAATAAAAAACTAACAAAACTTAAGTACAATTCTTATAATTATAAGCAAAAAAAGATTTTTTCTTTGGAAAAGGCAACTAATTGGAACAGGTAAATTAGTCATTTGAACATTCAAAAAGCATGTTTCATAAATTTACGTGTGAAATGCTAAGAAACAGTTTTTATCTTCGGTAAGGCAAAGATGAACTTTGCATTTTATACATTTAATCCTGGTTCTTCCCTTGCATCCAACCATTTTCCACCGTGTCCCAAGTCCCTCATCATGTGCAGGAAAATGCCCAACACTGTCTTTTGCTAAATCCGTTACAGGGCGAATCTCTCCTGGTCTTCTTGGAATAATTTGCGTCCGTCCTTGGGCCGTCCTTTTTTACCGATGATAATTTTATTCCTCAACAAAAGAATTTCAGCCAGCTGAAGACGAAATTGAAGCAACGTGAGTTGTTTATTCTTTGGTATGTCTAGCAGCGCATTGTCAGTTTGGAACTCTCGGTACGCCTGCACTGCAGCTAAATCAGAAGCATGAAGTATCATGCGAAGAGTCCATTTTTTAGATTTTATGAAGGTTCTGTAGTAGATCATGCGTTGATCTAATAGGTCAACTCCCACCATTGCGTGATTGTATTTCCTGACCACTTCGGGGCGTTCAACGTCAATAAATTTCTTATCTTTCTTACACCAACTGCTGACTAAGTCTGTTTCACCAATACCAACAAAATTAGAAGCAAGATGGGTAACCTTAATATCGAGCCACTTGACCACAGTTACATCTTCGTCAAAACTACTTACTTCTTGAGAAAATCCTCGAGGCTTTTTATGGTTGTTTAGGAGTTCCTTGTGTCTCCACCTAATGTTTTGTTTAGGCGTAATATTCTGAAGTATATTTTCATGCGAGCATTCTATTTCTGTTGTCGGTGGTACTTCGAGAACCACTTCATCGCAGGTGTCAGTAACTCCTGGATCATTCGTTCTAATCCACAATGAGCTAGGCCCTTCATCTTCTTCAGTGTCGGGTGGGAATACCTCTCGTTGGTTTTGATTGATGACATCTGCATCTACTCTTACAGACTGCAACTCTCTTTCAGATGTAAATCCAAACAGCTCTTCGTTATCAGACGATAGCTCCAAATCGGAAAGAGTTCCAGCGCATAGGGCTTTCAAGGCGTCCGGTGAAAACATATCGGTGTTTTTTTATCTGAAAAAGTAAAAAAATATTTTATCTCAACATATAACATATATTTTATATAGCATAAACAACAACAACATTATTATTATAGTTACAAACATATTCAAAATAGATTTTGCAAATACAGCTAAAATACTTCAGCAATCGTAAAAACATTGTTTACGCCTGATGTGTACATTTGTGTACAAATATAAAAATTGTGATAATTGATACAAAAATAAAATAATAAACTCAAATTATATGTTACTTATGACCTTAGGAATATAACACATCAATGCATATTTTTGCAGTACGTATATTTAACTATTTCCTACTTTTTAGAAATAAAAATGACGAGCTTACCCACATCGGTCCAACTTCGGTCAGCCACTGATCGAATCATGTCGAAAAAGTGACAAAAAATGCTAAGAGATAGCTTTAATAGTATACATTTTTATAGTTTATAATGTGGACATATGAATACAAGCGTTCTCAATTGCACTTGTAACGAAATAAATAGCAATTTTTTTTATTATATTTTATGTGTACATTTGTGTACGCCAGGTCTGAAAGGGTTAAAGTTATAATGGTGCCCGGCTTAATATTAAATATGTATATTTTATATGCTAAAAGAATAAAAAATGTTTTAATTAAACTTAATTAAAACGCTAAGCAAACAGCTCTTTAGTTCAGCTTAGTGTAATAAACATTTATTATGTCAAGAATTCAGAGAGTCTACATAATAGAGGTTTATTAATGTGGTCTATTAGTTAGATGAAATCTGTTTCGATTAATTTTGGGAAACTAAATATATCAAAGTCGTGACAAACAAACGATCATTCCAATTTGTCAGAACCTTCTGTTATTATCAACTGGATGATTCGTTAATTAGACAATATTTTATACATTACCCCCAGGCAGTTAGTTATTATTAAAAACAAAAAATATATTCTGTGTAGGGATTTTTTTAATAGTGCAGATTTTCTGCTATTGACCTTTTAACGAACGTTTTTATAAAGAGCGTTTTGGTACAGAAGTGTTTGAGCAAATCCTTTCGGGACGTGTCTTGTTTACGAGAATTCCCTTTGAAGTTGAAAACACATTAGACGACGAGATGTTTTCCCTGGCTTTTAGAAAAATATAGTGGATAGTTATAACTTAAGGCTTGAACATCAGATACCAATTTTATGAAATGAAACATAAATGTACTTCTTAATATTTCGTTTTTACTATTATACATATAAATAGAAAAATATATTTATTAAAAATTATGCAAAATTTCATCCTACTTTAACTCATCAAACTCTGAGACTTACAATCTATACTTTCACACTTTGCTAGCAATTATCAAGATTAAAAGGATAAAGTAAAAATCTCTGAAAACTTTCAATCTATCATTCATTGTATAGGAAGAAATACTCAAGAATGTCATTTCGGTTAAGGTAAAGTAAGGCATATTAATGAGGCTTATTTGGCTCTAATAGATTGAGGAGTGGTAACTGTATGAGGTTAGTAAGCAGTACATTTCAAAAGACAAATTAAAATATTAAAATTCTACTCATTTAGTGGGGCAGCTCTTGATGGGTGGTCAGTCCACAATTAAACCCGTCCTGATTGCGGGAGGCCAGCTGAGCACCCGTCTTCTTGTCCAAAATCCCAACACAACAAAGACCATGGCATCTTGCTTTCGGCTTAAATTACAAGGTAGCTGATCAAACTCATCAGCCATAAGACCCCATCAAAAAACATGCGAGAACCACATAAGATGGTTGGCGGCATGAATTTGTTTTATTGGTGGTAGCTCTACTGGCGGCCGATGTTAAAACTTCATACCGAGAAATAATTGAAAAAATACTTCATGTCTTCTGGGAATACATAAACTGAATTTTTATACCGTTCGTTTTATAAAACTACAAAGTTTTATAGCCTTAAAATAAAACGCGTTAAAAATTTATGTTATTATAAAACTAAGTTAAAAAGAACACTTAACCTTAAACAGCGATGAAGAGGCTAATAAAGAAGCTCCAACGAGCGAAATCTAATATTAAAAAGAAATTTATTCATGAGAAAAATTATATCATATATTCAAAGAAAGTTTTTTTTTTCTATAGACACGATATGGTTTTTTGACTGAAAATGTAAGCGACAAAAATTCTTTAGTGAAAATTATAATATAAGGAAACTTTTTGGCTAGTTGAAAATATGTTCTCTTTAATAGAATAACACTGATTAACAATAATGTACACTACGTACGGTCTTTTCATAGCATTTAAATTATTTCTTGCAAAAAATAATGTCCAAATTGTCTTACTTTGAAGGAAATGTCAGTTTTCATTTTCTTTTATGGAAATTTCTATTTTATTTTATTCACAGAATCATTTCAATGTTCTTAATGTGTATAAAAATAGAAAGATAACAAAAATATGTAATAATTTTACATCTTTTGCTTTTAAAAATGATAAGAAATATATTTTTTAACTTTTCAATTATATCCAGATGCCTAGTAAATGAGGGATATAATTTACTTTAAAAGAATATTACTTTTATAATATTTACATTAAAATAAAAATCAATTTCGTGGTTGCTTTGAATAGTTTAGTAGTTGCGTTTAGTATTTTATGAGATGAAATAATATATTAAATTTAGTTTAATAAATGACTTTAATTATGGGGTCAATATAAACATAATTAAAAGAAAATTGTATATTCTTAAAATTAAAATGATTATTCCAAACCAAGATTTTTATAACAGCAATATAAATGATAAATAAAGCAATTAATCAAACTTTCTTTCAAAGAGATCTCTTTCAGCTATTGATTTCTGTCAGAAACATCTTAGATTGCTTGAAAAGATACACAATTATAGTTTATATACTATTAAAAAAACCATATATATATATATATATATATATATATATATATATAATTGAATAATAACATAGAACAATACAAAAATTATATCATAAAAAAGAAAAATATATAATAAACAACCGTCATAGTTGAGATTGATAGACAGTCTTTTATTTTTCTATTCAGAATTAAATAAAGCGGTATATGCTCTGATATAGATGTCTGATATAGAACACAAATACGCTACTGAGTTATAAAAAGATACATGAAGAGACTTAATTATTAACAATCAAGAGCGCTTGGGCTATTACTTTTTTTTTTTTTTTTTTTTTTTGTTATCCTTGGGAAAATGCATTTACGCATACCCGCCGTTTTTAGAAAACAGCGGGGTATGTGGGACTCGTTGCCACTACCCACTAAAAACCCAAGGGTGTTCCACGACGGCCCTTGTGTCGGGGCGGGGGATCGCTTTCGCACTGCCACCAGCTTCCCCGACAGGCTGGCCCGCATTCTGGGGGCCCTTCTTCTTTTGGGGGGCACTGGTACCGTCATGTGGTGCTCTTTTCCACGCACGTGACCTCGGGAGTTGCATGGGGAACACAACCATGCAACTCCCTTTACCGTTTAGCGCGGGTTGGGGTCCGCGCCACGGGCCATTTTCATGGCGGCCTCAAATCGTCGCGGGCGTCTCTGCGGCGGCGCCCAGCACGGTGTCTGCGAGAGGGGAGGGAAGATGAGGCTTCCCTCACCCTACCGGCCTCCTCCTTCGCGGACATTACCGCCTCGCAGAAGGCGACCGCGGCGTCCCAGGCCGACTCACGCCGCACCATGCACCACACCATGTGGTGCAGTGATAAGGCCCCAGCCTCCATTGCCCCAACTAGGTCACGGCGCTGCTCCGCCCATGCTGGGCACACCTCCAAGGTGTGCTGCGCCGTGTCCTCGGGGCAATCCGCACAATGGTGGCATGCCGGAGATTCCTCCCGCCCTATTCGACACAGGTACTTCCCAAAGCAACCATGCCCTGAGAGTACCTGTGTTAGGCGGAAGGAGAGGCCACCATGCTGTCTCTGCAGCCACTCCGACATGACGGGCCTTACCGCCGCTATCGTGGCGTGTCCCGCATTTGGCGTCTCGAGCCGCTCGTACCACTCCGCCATGGACAACAACACCAGCTCTTTTCTGCGCGCCTCGACCGCTCTAGGCATGACCACCGCGCCTCTCTCCAGCACTTCCCCGCGCCACCTGTACAGCTGTGCGAGAAGCTTAGCCTCCAGGTCCCATGGTGGGGATCCGGCGAGTAGGGTTGCAGCCTCGAAGGAGACCGTGCGGTACCCTCTTATGGCCCTAATGGCCATCATCCTCTGCGAAGTCCGCAGCAGGGCTACGTTTTTGGACCGCAGATCTTCCGCCCAAACAGGGGCTCCATAGAGGGCCATCGATCGTACGACCCCCATGTAAAGCCTCCTGCAGGAGCCGCTTGGTCCCCCCAAATTTGGCAGCAACCTTGACAGGGCAGCCGCCACCGAGGGCAAAGTAGGGGCAAGTCGGCGAAAATGCTCGACAAAGTTCCATCGGGAGTCTAAAACAAGACCCAGATAGCGCATGGTGGGCTATTACTAGTTTGGGTAGGGAGATAATGTTTTTTAAATAAGAAGACGATTAGTTTTTACATTTAAGTTAGTACCTTATATTCAAATTTTCCGGCAGAATCTAATTGGAGCCATTGAATTTAAAAACGATAATGGGAAAAAATGACAATCTTGGACGAGCCACGATACAAAAAATTAAAGGTTATCTAATTTATTGAGTATGTCCAACAATATAACAAAATAGTAAGTATCTAAGTAATCAACAACAAGGTAAATAGCTATAATAGCTCACTTTTTTTCTGTTATAACAAGAAATTCTTAAGAAAATTAACACTCCGATGAAGTTGACCTTTATATTGCAAGAAAGACACTTATGAACTGATAATCCCAAATTCTTGACATCATCGTAACTGGTATTACAGTATTTTGTAGTATATTTTCTACTTAGTTATATAGATGTCTGCGACCAGTGATGATGGCTTGACTAAATGACGTATTCTAAACTATGTGATAAAAATTATATTAATTGTGCTATAAATACCTTCTCGAATTAACCCACATACCTAACCACCT